TTTAGAATGCTCTTTGATTACAGGTAAACTATAAATCCCAGCAAATACAACCCCTAAATGCCACCAGTGTTCACATTTGGGCATATTGATTATCAGTGCCAAGTTTGGTCCAGATCCATCCTTGTTTGAGTCCACAGTGATCTCTGGATGTAGGTGAACTACAACTCTAAAACCAAAGGACACTGCCCACCAAACCCTTCCAGTATTTTCTGTTGGTCATGGGAGAATTGTGTGCCAAGTTTGGTTCAATTCAATCGTTGGTGGGGTTCAGAATGTTCTTTGATTATAGGTAAACTATAAATTCCAGCAACTACAACTCCCAAATGACAAAATCAATTTTTTTTGAGTGAAGGACATACATTGGGTTGTTAGGTGTCCAGTGGTTTTTGAGTTCTGTTAATCCCACAAACGAACATTACATTTTTATTTATATAGATTTATTTCCTCTATTTATACCCTGCCCTTCTCCCCCTGAAAGGGGACCCATTCTTGCATATTCCAAAAACCACTTTCAAAAAGACAGAAAATAGAATGCTTTCCTCATTTTAATTGAAACTATTTTATCTCCAGAAATGCTAAAACGATGCTTTATGTTCAGATCGTAACAATAAAAATACATCATGCATATCAGATACTTACATTACAATTCATAACAGTAGCAAAATAGGACATGTGCAGTGTGCATAGGAATTTGGTCATCGTTTTTTTAAAAAAACTATAGTCCGGCCCTCCAACGGTCTGGGGGACAGTAATCCAGCCCCCCATTTAAAAAGTTTGAGGGCCCCTGTTCTAGCTCATTAACTTCTGCAGCTGGGCCAGGTGCCAAGCTTTTCTCAGGCTCAAAGGCCTGGGAATTTTCTGATAACAATTTAGGCCCTCTTCCAGAGACCATCCCATCATCCCCAAACTCTTCTGGAACATTCTCATCAGCAAAGACACTTTGAACAGGAATCCCATTATCATTCTCTGAAACTAAAGCACCCTCATCATTAGAAACATTCCCGACATCATTAACAACAGCATTGTCATTCCCAACATCCAGAGAGCCCTGATCATTAGACACAATCACAGGCTGAACTCCAACAGTCTCGCAATATATTCCGTTCCCACTTTGCCACATCCTATCTTGACATTACCGTCCTCTCCATAAACTGAAACAATTTCATGATGAATCACAGAAGCATGTATGCCTTTAACATCTAGGTAGCATATTACAGTGTTAACTTTGCACTAGGAAGGAAACGAAATGAGGATGCTCATCTCTAACCTTCACCACAATGGCAGTTGATGAGATACTGATGAATGGCACTGCTCGTTCACTTCTGTTGGCTTCCCGCTACAAAGCAGTTACACCAACTTTCCCTGTGAAAATTCCCAGTGAGAGTTATGTGCCTTGTAATCTTACTTTTCAGATAACCCTCGTAGAGCCTTCCGTCACTCACTGTGATGCCCTTAATACACTTTTTGCAGATAATATTTCTCTCATAAAAGCTGACTTGGATGCTGTCATTGATGCAGAAGTCAGTTATTCATCTCCAGCAACCGTGTGATTACAATGGATCAATTTCCCTTGGTAGGTATTATTGATATTGACAAGCTGCTCAGACAAGAAAGGACAATCTGCTTTCTTGATTCCTGCCCATCTTGGCTAGTCATCCAGAGAGGGCATGCAATTTAGTTTCCATACAACAACATTCCACACAACATTTCTCAGCAAGGGAAACTTTCCAATTCATTTAAAAGAAGCAGTAGTTAGACCATTGGTGAAAAAGCTATTCCTGGATCCTCTGGACCATTTAAGTTACATATTAATCTCTAACCTTCCTTTTTTGGGCAGGGTCATTAAGAAGGCAGTTGCTCTCCAACTCCATGCAATCTTGGATGGAATACACTTCTTTGACCCATTTCAAACCAGCTTCAGAGCAGGATATGAAGTTGAGACTGCTATAGTTGCCCTAGTGGATGATCTCTGTCTTAACACTGATGGGGAAGTGCATTCCTGTTGGCACTTCTAGACCTCTCAGTGGCTCATGATACCATCAACCATGGCATACTTCTGAAATGCCTGCGGGTGGGGTTGGGAATCGAAGGCACTATGTGGCACTGGTGTTGGTTGTACCTCGTAGGCCGGTTCAAGATAGAGGTGCTCAGAGACAGCTGTTCCTCAAAGAAGGAGCTGTTCTATCCCCAATGCTTTTTAAATTTTACATGGATCAGCTGAGAGAGATCATCTAAAATCATGGGGTGGGATACTATCAGTATGCTAATGACACCCAAAATACATTGCTCTATGTTTTCAAATACAGATTTAGCTAAGGATAAATAAATCTTAATATATTTAAAATAAATGGTTTGAGTGCTTAATTAAAGCAAGAGGGGAAACGCCTATGGGGTGCCTATTTGGCTTTCCAGCTCTTCTCTGCCTCTACCAGCTGTTGAGGCACTTGGTGCAAACATCCAAATATTTTGAGGGAAAAAAATTGCACACTTTTATTACCTGTACATTTGTGGTAAAATCTGCACTCTAAGGTGCAAAAGGCAGTGCCTATTCACTGGTTCTGATTTGTGTACAGGTTTCTATGCATTGCATTCATGTTGGTAAAAAAAGGATAGACTTATTAAGCTTTATTTCATTTTATTGAGGCAAGATTATGTATTTGTTGCCAAGGAATTTGAACACAAAAAGTTATGTGGAAATCTTTATGAAGAACTCTTTATTATTTCCGCATGATCCATACTCTGGCCTCCTGCAAATGTGCATAAGAAATTAAAACAAAGAATTTAAACACTTCCCAAGTCAATCATTTTCAAAATTCGGAGGACACACTGGGTACTGCATAAAAAGTGGATGTACTCAAAGAGAAAGTTGCTATTCTATGGGACACCAAAAGAAAATTGCTGGTGAAAAATAAGACTTTAATGTTGTGATAAGAAACTCCAAAAAGAAAAATGGGTTCCCCTGAAACTGTGGAGACCAAAATCCACTGATTGTGGTAATACGAAAATAACTAAATTAACCCAATTTATATATTACAAATACACATATCAAAAAAACTGCCATATTCACATTAAGTAGAAACAACTGGTTCTTCTCTTGAAGTATAAAGCAAAGTCTTCGTTTGAGAAAATGTCCTGTTCTTTATTACATATGAGTAGACTCCAGTAGTCACATGAATTGACTCCAACCTGCAACCGGTTTCGACTCACAAGAGCCTTTGTCAAGTGGTTGGGTCTACAAATAACACATATCATGAATACACATATACAATTGAACAATTTATTATAACAAGTTTGTAAGAATAAATACAGACACTCTAATTATCACAAAAAGCTCAACTTTTGAGGTGAGAAATTCACCAACAGTCTTCTGGAGGGGTGGATCCTAGGGGGACATAGATAGTGGCTAAAGGTACATTGTGACATGAATAAACCATACATAGAGAAATAATATCTATGAAACAAAAATAATATAATACTCACAGCTATTCTTTGTTGAGCAATGTACTCTGCAAGGAGTTTTATTCTGTGGCGAGTATAGGAACAAAATAACTCAACCCATTACTAATATAGCAAGTCCATTGGTCAGGTGATAGTGACATCATTATCAGTTCAGAATACATTGGGGTAAAATCTACTCTGTTATAAAAAGCAGTCTGTCATGAATCTAACCTTTTGCCGGCAGGCCGAAGCCTAAGAATCAGTTAGCTGACATCTTGAGAGAGGCAAGGAGACAAGAGGGAGGAGTCAGCCGACTCCCGATTGGTTACAGCAATAAGGGAAGGAGTTGGTTGTGAGAGGGAAAAAGGCTGTCACTTTTGACAAGCTGGAGAGAAGGGATTTTAACATCGCAGAGGGTAGAAGGATTTTGAGGAGAGGGAGCTGAGTAGGATTTAGACAGAGGAAAGAAAGCTTTTGGAGTGAGACTTACAGTTAGGGAATAAGGAAGGGCAAAGGCTTCTAGATTACTGTACTTGGAGGGTCAGTAAGGAAGATTTGTCCACTTGTATTTAGGGATAGTACAAGAGAGCTTATTGCCCTGAGGAGTAGATTAGAGAAAAGTCTAATTGCTCTGTGAGACAGTCAGGGAGGACTGGTCTCAGGAACATACTGTTTCAAAGGAAGTTGAACAGTGTGGTTTAGGGAACTCACAATAAGCAAAAGCTACATCCTTAGTGAAAACGATCTGTCTAACCAGCTAAGCCTCAGTAACTGAATTACGCTTGTGTACCACTCATTATATGAGTTGACATATTCTTAAAGTTTAATAAACCTGTTTCTAGTTCACTTTAACTGGTGTCTGCCTCGGTCTGTCAAACTCATTAAAACTAAGCCAGCCTAAAAACCTCTCTACAGTCCAGTCAGCGAGTAAAGCAGCTATTAAGAAGAACCAAGAGCTTGAGTGCAATTTACCTAAAACACATTCACACTTTTGTTTCCTCAGACAATATAATTGAGGTGGTGGCGGCGAAAACTACCAGAATCATCGGTTGTTAATATCTTTATCACAGTTGGTCACTTAATCGTATTACCGGGGTGGGATAAAAAGGCTTTCCCTCCTGTCAGAACGGCCGAATGGTCATTATAGTTTATTACAGTAGTGTCCAGCATTCTTAATACGTAGGGTGGTCTTTTATCTCCCTTACACAGTCATATGAATTGGTGTTGTTTAACCCTTTTAGATGTTCTGTTTGCAGGGTAAAGATCCAGAAAGATTCCCGTTGTAAAAGTTTAGTTTGTATTTGTAATATATACATTGAGTTAATTTTGTTATTTTCATATTACCACAATCAGTGGATTTTGGTCTCCACAGTGATAAGAAACTCTACATGACTTTCAGATATTGGATCCAATGGGAGTTGTATCTGAGCAAACATGATTGGGCTTGTGCTGGCGCCTATCAGTTGTTGTGTCTTTCATAGAAAACAACTTTACTAGGCAGATTGTTAGTACCAATATGAATATCAGTAGATTTGAAGAATATCTTTCCACATGAAACTGTTTCAGGAAGTAGGACATACCTCTGATATGCAGGGTCCTTCTTTTTTTATGCCAATCAGTTTCCCAGATGACCTGAAATAGCAGAGTGGTTTGCATGAATGGTATTATGAAAATGTATTCTGCCTTATAGGTCTCCTGTGGCCATAGCAAGTTACATACAGAAATTGCTGGAGCACTTTATTTCAGTGGTTTTTATTCCCACATTTTGGCCATATGCTCACTATTGAAATATACAAAATCAACCACTGTACATGGCATTTATTGACCTTGCAAAGGCATTCGACACAGTGAATCACTGTGCTCTCTGGACCATTCTCAAAAAAATCGGGTGCCCTAACAAATTTGTGAACATCCTGTGGCTCATCCATGATGACATGATGGCAACAGTCTTGGACAGCAATGGCTCCCAAAGTGACCCATTTAAGGTGGAATCAGATGCCAAACAGGGATGTGTTATTGCCCGAACTTTATTCTTCATCTTCAACGCTATGATACTTCATCTTGCTGACGGGAAGTTACCCACTGGAGTGGAAATCATCTATCGGACAGATCGCAAGCTATTTAACTTCAGTAGACTGAAAGCCAAAACCAAGGCTACAACAACATCTCTTATATAACTCCAGTATGCTGATGACAACGTTGTCTGTGCGCATTCAGAAGAAGACCTACAAGCCACCTAAACACCTTTGCAAAAGCATATGAGAAGCTTGGCCTGTCATCGAACATCGAGAAAACCAAAGTGCACTTCCAGCAGTCACCAGCCAATCCCTCGCCAATGCCAGAAAGACAGCTTAATGGTGTAACATTAGAAAATGTTGACCATTTCCGCTACCTTGGCAGCCACCTCTCCACCAAATTAAACATTGACACTGAAATATAACACCGCCTGAGCTCTCCGAGTGCAGCATTTTTCCGAATGAAGCAAAGAGTGTTTGAGGACCGAGACATCCATAGGGACACCTAGGTACTTGTTTATAAAGTTATTGTCCTCCAACCCTGCTATATGACTGCAAAACGAGGACTATCTACAGACGTCACATGCAACTCCTAGAATGATTCCATCAGCTGGCTCTGGAAAATCCTGCAAATCTCTTGGGAGGACAAGCGGACAAATGTCAGTATGCTGGAAGAAGCAAAGACCACCAGCATTGAAGCCATTATCCTCCACCATCAACTCCGCTGGACCGGCCACATTGTCCGGATGCCCGACCACCATCTCCCAAAGCAGTTGCTCTACTCCGAACTCAAGAATGGAAAACGGTGGGCTCAAAGCCAACCTTAAAAACTCTGGCATAGACACTGAGAACTGGGAAGCCCTTTGCCCTTGAGCACTCCAGCTGGAGGTCAGCTGTGACCAGCAGTGCTGTAGAATTTGAAGAGGCACAAATGGAGGGCGAAAAAGAGAAACATGCCAAGAGGAAGGCATGTCAAGCCAACCCCAGCTGGGACCACCTTCTACTTGGAAACCAATGTCCTCACTGCGGGAGAAGATGCAGATGAAGAATTAGGCTCCACAGTCACTTACGGACCCACCGCCAAGACACCCATCTTGGAAGACAATCCTACTCGAACTATGAGGGATCGCCTAAGTAAGTAAATACAGTTCACTGTTGAAAATGCAATAAGCGTGAAATAAGTGACTATGGGACAGTTGCATGCAAATGCCACATTACAAAGTATAACCTATCAAGAGCCATCAGGGAGAGAAAAAGTTGCAAAAACAAACAAACAAACAAACAAAAGAGTTTTTATATGGTTCCAAAATGCTGACTAGACCATAGATACAGGCCACAAGTTTCTATGAAGTATGCTTTAGAATAGGGTTAGGGATCATGTGATCTTCCAGATATTGTTGGACCATAACTCCCAGCAGTTTCAAAAGTTCAGCAACTTTTGAAGCAATACATGCATCTTTCCCATACTGTAGAGACCATATGGAGTGCTGAACAGTTTCCTGTCAGCTTGTGAGCCAGAATCTGATGAGATTGAGAACAAAAACCACAGCATCTCTCCCCTCCCCTTCCCTCTGACTGTAGAAAAACTGGACCCTGTATCCTACACAGAGACATGGTAGATCCAGGTCTTAGGAGACAGTGCAAGGCACTGGAAGGAACTGAGTATAAAATGGACCAAGGGAAGGGATGGATACTTGAAAATTCAGTGAAGCAACAGCAGTTATTGAGCAGTAGTGGGGAAGATTGTAGCTCCCTTCAGATATTAGGCCTCCCCATCCCATTGGTTGTGCTATCTTATAGGGCTGGGCGGTTTCGTTTCGTTAATTCGTAATTCGTTAATAATTCGTTAATTTTTTAATTACAAAACGATAACAAACCATTCTGGAGCAATCTTTTAAAAAAACGAATTTTTAAATAGTTTTGTAAATGCTTCGTATTTTGTTATTGTATTTGTTTCGTTATTGTTTTGAGGTCGTTTCGTTATTATTTCCGCATGTCTGGGGCAAGTTTTATGGTTGTTTTTGTTTAATTAGTGAAAAAAAATTATAATATCACACCAACAGTCAACAACAGAGGGAGAGGGAAGCTTCAGAAGTTTTTGGAGGTTTTTTAGCGTATTTCGCGGTCGCGTCCGCCATTAACAAATCGATTCGTTATTGTTTCGGAAATCGATTCGTTAATGTTTTGTAATTTTTTTCACATTTACGAAATTTCGTAAATATCGAACTTTTTAAAAGGAAAATTTTGTAATTATTTTAAATAACGAAACGCAAAAACCCCCCAAAAACGAATCGATTTTAGAAACAAATTTTTCCGTTGTTACCAGGCCTACTATCTTAGGGCCTTGCCACATGCACTGCAAGAATAACTGTGGCTCACCACAGAACATGGTGATTCTGGTGGTGCCCATCCAGGGGGCATGGGTAGAATGGAATTGCCACTGAAATTTGCTCTGTGTGAAGAGGTTGTTAAGCTATCCAAAAGTAATAAACATGCCACTTAAATTTCCCAGTTTTAGGACCCTTCAGCCTCTTTTCAAGCATGGAGAGGCAATGAGCTCATCAAATGAACTACTTCTGGCAATCATACATAACGCTCCATCGTTGAAAAAAGGCAGAAGTGTCCTGAAAGGAGGGAATTCTGAACACAGGCCAGCAATCGTGTTCAGAGTTCCTACCTCTTAACTCCTTACCTTTCAGATATGGTTCCAACTGCAAAACCGGTGAGGTGGGAACCATCAAAGTTTCTCATGCTAGTTCATCCCCCAGCTATCAGCATTCTCTGGAGCACTGTCTCTTGTATCATATGAGGTTTTGGCAGAACAATATTATCCCAAGGAAAAGATAGTTTAACCTGGAGCACTGTCTCTTGTTTCCTATGGGATTTGTTGCAGAACTATATTATCCCATGGAAATAAGTGGTTTTAAACTGGTGTCAGTCTCCTTTAATGTAAGGGGCTTTGGGCAGAGCAAGGGATCTCTTGGTTTTGGATATTGTTGTTTCTCCTGATTATTTAAAAAGTAATACTGACTGTGTGATAAAGATGAATGTATTGCCAGCTCTTAGGCTTCCACGTGTGAGCATGATGGGGAGGCAGAACTCGAAACGTTATTGGTGATGATATAAGAGGGGTGATTCTCTACACTAAATGGACAGTCACCTGTGCTTTCCCATCTCAATGTGATGAGGTCGATGGAATCAGATGTATTACTCACCAATTATATCCATCATGAATGTCTTATTTTGCAACTAACTTCAGGCCTGAGGGCTGCCTAAGCAAGAATTTCCCCGAGAAATCCCTATCCCCTCCCATTGGGTCCTAGTGAGCCTAGTGAGAGGAATGACCATGTCCAGCAGCCTGGAGTGGAGAGATCTAGCCAGTGTTCGTTTCCACAGTTTGACAGAGTGATGTCACTGGAGGGAATTGAAATGCCTAAATCAAACTGAGTGCATGACTTAGAGTACCAAACTAGAACATATTATTCAAGGAAATGAGATCAGGGTAGGTGGTAGATATAATGTCAGCCTGATCAAAATAATGAGACCTTTTCTTGTGCCCAAGCATGCCAAGCGTATCACTTGCCATGTGTCTGGGCTAGATCAGGAAAAGACCAGACTTTATAGGGCCAAGGGAGAATACCAACTGCACTTCTCTTTTTATTTTGTTTTTAGTGAAGAAGCACAGTTCCATGCATCTGGTCTATAATGAGTAGCTGTTGTCTTAACGTAGGCCACTTTTTAAAGTTAAACTTACCAAATTTCTGCACACAAGAGGCATGTGTTAGAATAAGTGGTGCCATCAGTGCCGCACACAGGTGCATGTATTCGGGGACAGGGTGACTCTTTGCCCTTTGGCGGTTCTGGAAACTTACTGCAGTCAACCTATAAATACATTCCAGACAATGTAAATAAATGCAATTTAATGGATATGGTTTTTGAGCAAGCTTTAGTAAGCAGCTGCATCAAGCTGGGAACCACAAGTACTTGTAGAGGATATCTACAAGTTCCTTGCCCATCCTGCTTTCACATCACACCCTTCACTGGACATAAAAAAAGATAAATAAATGGGTCCTAGAATGAGCTCTCCCTAAAAGCCAAGATGATGAAACCCAGGCTATAGTACTTTGGCCATGTCACAAGGAGGAGGGACTCACTAGAAAGGTCAGTAAATCTTGGTACAGTGGAGAGCAATAGGAAAAGAGGAAGACCCCCTCCCCCCAGATAGTTGTACCCAATCAGAGAAGTCAGGGCCCTGAGCTTGCAAAACCCAAGCACTGAGGACAGGGTGACTTTGAGACCTCATTCATAGGGTCACCAGAAGTCAAACTTGACTTGAAGACAATTAACAGAAACCATAAACCCATTGGGACCTACACAATCTTGGGAGTCGTTCCAGAGCGAGAGCATAGGAAAGTATTTTCTTTTTGTATCTCTCTCTTCCCACTAGATGGCAAAAAATTCACATTATCAACACAGAAGACAAATAATTGTTTAACTGTTGATTTCAAATTAAATAAGAATGATACTTACACATTCTCCTTTGTGGGCTAAGTCTATTTCGGTTCCGCCTCTCGAAAAAGAAACCTGAGTTAATTAATAAACTGGCCAAATGTGTGAGGCATTTAGAAACGAGGCATATAGTACTGAAGGAGTGCAATGTGACATTACACGATCTTGGGCATTTATTTTCAGAAGTAAGTCTCTAGATGTTATGTGTGGTTTGCTCCCAGGTAAATATGCAAAGGAGATCATATTAAAACTTACCCTTTGCCTTGCAACATTTTTTTCTTTCCTCTACAACAGAGATGAGTGTGTGGTGGACCTGCTATAATATTATACTCCAACTCTTATAATTCCAATAATTGACTTTTTTATTGCTACACCTGCTGGAGGTTGCATACCAACAATCCACATGTCTTTGTGTGACATGTGATGTTATTTTATGTGATGTGTTTAATAATGTTTAATGTTTTATCAAGGGAGGGTCAATGTTGATGTTTTATACTGTTTTTTATCGATGACATTTTAGTGTTGCCAACACTGTGAACTGCCCTGAGTCCCCTTCAGGGATGATACAGATACCGCAAAATAAATAAATAAATAAATATCTGGAGGGTCATGAGTTGTCAGTTCTAATCTATTTCAAATAAAACCTCTCAACTGCTAATTCAAGAACAAATTCAGAAGAACATATTCAAACTTCTCTATTATTTTTGTTCTTCCAATTGTTTGACAGTTTTGTAGATGAGTCTTTTGTACTGCAACTGTCCTGACTTAACTGGGGCTCTCCAGATGTCAGATCCATAATGAACCTCAACAGCACTTTGTGAGGTCAGTTCTTAAGGTTGCAAAATTTCGTGATCTGGTCCCAAGTGTCCAGTATACATGGACCATCTTAAAGGAGGAGACAAGAGTACAACATCTCCAGTTTTGATGGGTTCAGCTCAAGCAGGAAAAAAACTCACTTTGCTACAATCTGGAGGGGTTCATAGATTTGGTGATCACATGGTCAGACACAAAAAGGTGAGTTAAAGAAGAGTCACATTATTGATTTAAATATGTTGTAACAAGCCTGAACTAAGCAAGAGGGGGAACTTACTCGATGTGGGTTTAGCTTTGGCCCAATGTCAATCCTTAACTACACCTTCAACCTTACCTTCGGCAAAACACCTGACTCAAGGCTCAGTCCAAATGTGTTGCTGGAATCTGTAGAGTTCTATATATTTACTTAGTTAATTTTGTCCTGTCCTCAGTTGTAGTGCCAAGTGTCAGAGCTTATTAAGAGAAAACTTGATGACATTGCTCAGAGCAGCTGTGGTTGCATTTCATGTATAACCCTTAAAATGCATGTGGTAGTAATCTCAAGGTTGGAGTTCTGTAATATGCTATGCATTTGGCTACTTTTGTAACCAGTTTGGAAACTCCAAATAGTTCAAAATAATGCAGCCAGATGGATTATGAGAATAATCTAGTAGTTTTTGTCTGCAATCATCAGGACTTGGAACAAATGGCAGTGATCTGGAATCACTGCCATTTATCATATTCCTGCCATTTATCATAGTAATGTTTATTTAGATAGTTGTGTTGTCCTTGGGTAGATGTATTCTTTCTGATTTGAAAAGTGAGCACCCAAACATCCTCATTTTACTAACTTGATGTTTTTGTGGCCTAAATTTATATGTTTTTCCTAACTGGAAAAGATGTAATAAATCAATGAAGCTTGTCTAAATGTACTGTATTTTATGAATGGATGAATGAGATGATTTTATCCTGTTTTATTATGATAGTTTTATTTGTTTTACATTGTTTTAATTATTAATGTTTAAATATTTTAATTTATATTTATAATTTTGTTGTTTATCTAATATCAATTTGCTTTGTACTGTGATTGTTGTTGCTGTTGACATCTAATGGTTGCAAGTTGTAAGCCACCCTGAGTCCCCCCTCAGCGGTTGAAAAGGATGAGATAGAAATGTATGAAATAAATAAATAAATGTTTAGATGTTTTTTTAGTGAGTTGATTTGGGTCTTACTCCAGGAAAAAGCAACATATAAATCAAATGAATATGTGTGTGTGTGTGTGTGTGTGTGTGTGGGAGAGAGAGAGTGAGAGAGTGTGTACACACACATAGAGATCTGATCTGTGTTAAATATTTAGAGTTTCCCATTGTCCCTTTTGGAAATTATGCATTGGTTAACACCTTTTCTGATTTTACCAACCCATGCAAATGAGTGGTGCAAATAAGTACTCACAGGATTTCAGCACACAGCAAACATTCATTGCCATGAGTCTTGCCATCTGTTCCACAGACTGGGTCACGTTGCCGGGGACACCTTATTACAGCTTCTTCTTGTTGTTGCTGCTGCTGCTGCTCCTGCTGCGGTTTATACTTTTGGCAATCAAGCTGCAGAATAATAGCAATGAAAAAGATTAAAATATATAGTACCGCATTTCAGGAAAATCGTTTTTGCCCATAAGACAGAAAAGACCCCAATCTTTTCTTCAATAGTAAATATACTACTTTGCCATTGACTACCTTCACTTAGTCTACTAGGAGTTGTAGTCCATCCACTTCTCGAGGGCCATTTTGCTCATTCTTGACACACAGAGTAATATGTTTTTTAAGGGGTATTATTAGAACATAGCTTAAATAACTCCTTGTATTAACTTAGTCAAGTATGGTGGTGTTTCAATAATTGAACAGATATGTGACATAATGAAAGATTGGGTTTTGGGAAGTATTGTTTGATCTGTTTTTTCTTCAGATTGTCCCACAAAGGATCAAATCTGTTAAATAAGAATGGAAATTGCTGTAACGCTCCCCTCTCCTCAAAAACTATTCTTTTTGCATGCTTTATACATAATCTTTGAAAGTGTATTTTTCATTTTTTCAAAATAAATAAAGTTCAGAAACATGTTTCTTAATGTCTGTGTAAAAGGACCGGAGCTGTCCAGCAGTAATCATAGGTATGTATTGTCGAAGGGTTTCATGGCCGGAATCACTGGGTTGTTGTACATTTTTCGGGATATATGGTCATGTTCTAGAAGCATTCTCTCCTGACAGTTCACCTGCATCTATGGCAAGCATCCTGAGAGCCCTCATAACCTCTGAGGAAGCTTGCCATAGATGCAGGTGAAATGTCAGGAGAGAATGCTTCTAGAACATGGCCATATAGCCCAAAAAACTTACAGCAACCCAATCATATGTATGTTTACTTAGAAGCAAGATCTGTTATTTTTCTGTGGCATTTAATGCTTCATTTCAGTCTTATGTATGGTTACATTTCTTTCTACAATTCTTTCAGCACTAACTTTCATGTTCTGTTTTATGAATTTCCGAATCATGTTAAAATGCTATGGCTGACTTCAGTCTATACTTTTCTATGCAAGTAATTGGACTCTTTCAAAATAACAGTTACAAGGTAGATAAATTTACCTTATGTGCTGAAGTCTCTGAACCTGAAAAAAAAAATAGGAAAAGCATTAAAACATCATTGAGAACTGTCAGAACCCTGACAGTTTAAAACACGCCTGACACAAGATAAAGTTCAAAACATAGCTTTATTGTTAACAAAAAGTCTTGAAAAACACTTAACTGCAGTGCTTAAGTCTGCTGGAGCAATTTGGCACCAAAATTGAGTCAATAGAGTAAACTAAAATATAATCTGGATTATAGTGTAGACTCTTAATCCGGATTAAACTAAAGATGAAGCAATTTGCTTGAAAATCAAAACAGAGAACAAACACAGTCTTTAAAGCTGGCAAAACATATTTTCAGAACAAAAAGTAGTTAGAGTCACTAAGATATTAACAAACAAAGTCCAGAAGTCCTGAAAGCGAAGTCAAACCGGTCCGAAGTCAAATCCATAGAGAAGCGAAGCTGGAATGCTAAGGTCACCAAGAAATCAGGAACACGGGAACACACGATGCTACAGCCCAGGACCCAAGGTGGAAAGTTGGCAGGTACAAAGAATTATGCCCAATGAAGACACTTTGCCGACTGCGACTTGCAGTTCAAACTGAACCCCCCTTTTATCTCACAATTCTTCATCAGAGCTTGATGAGCTCCCCACCCTTTCTTCATCACTCCCAGCTGCAGCTGAATGCCCATCCCTCCACCTCTGCCAACAATTATCAGGGGTCAGAATCTGCCAAGAGTCCCCTGGCAGCCAATCCCCAGTGAACCCCTCAAATTCCTCACTAGAGGTGGGCTGGTTACAAATATCCCTTATGTTTTGCACACACGTCCAATTTAACTCCTTCTCATCATCCATGTCACTCCCAGTCCCAGAACTCCTTTCAAAACCAAAGAAATCTTCATCCTCTGTTGGTGCACAAAGTATTTCCTGAATATGTTTCCTTTGTAATTCCCCTTCAGACTCTGGCTCACGAGCAGCCCTCTTTACACCTCTGCTCACTCCCCCTTCCCCCATTTCGCAATCAGAGAAACCTGAGAACGTTTCATCCTCGCTTGGAACCATAATGATTTCCCTAATGCACTGACTTTGCTGTTCTCCCTCTAACTCCAAAGCAGCCCCGTTTTCCCTGCTACTAGGAGTAGCAACTTGAGCAACACGCTGAACTATAACAAGAACAGTTTGGGATAGCTCATAAGTATTTGGGATATGTCACTTGAGGGGCAAACGGTCTTTAGATTTAGTAATCTGGATGTCCTGTATTAAAACAAGATGAATCCTTTTTTTAAAAAAAATTATTTATTGAAATTTTCATATTATACATTTGTTAAAATAAAATAGGATAGGATGAAATATAGAAAGAAAATTAAAGAAAGTAAACTGAAGGATGGGAAAAGATGGGAAGCAGGAGAGTTTCAGAGAAAGGGGAAAGGGTGTAAAAAGAAAAGAGTGAAAAAGCAAAATAGAGTGTAGGAAAGTGTCAAAGTGTGAATTTAAAAGAAAAGATTCAAGAAAGTTCATTCTTCATTTGACTTCCAGTATTCTTCGAGGTTGGTCTCTTCCTTTTCTTTCGTTCCTTCTTCTCTCTTCATCTTATTTTCCATTTCTGTTTTGACTGTTATGTATTTTATGTTTATCCTTAACTATATCCAGACCTATCTGTCTGTTTTATTTCTTTTTAATCCTATTTATTTTAAGTATTCTTTAAATATTGTCCAATCTGTGCCTGTTTCTGTTATTCCCTTGCTCCTTTGTAGTAGGTAGCTTAAGCTATCCATGTTTCTAACATCCATCATCTTTCTTTTCCATTCCTCCATTTCTGGTACTTCTTTCTTCCTCCACAATTTGGCAAAGCACATCCTGGCTGCCGTGGTGGAGAGAAAGATCAATTTATCTGTGTTTTTGTCAACTTCCATATTTATAATGCCTAATAAAAATAATTCCGGTTTAAAGGGTATACGAATTTTTAAAATTTCTTGTAATTTCGCATGGATTTCCTTCCAGTAGCATCTAGCTTTTTTTTACAATGCTACCACATGTGGCATAGTGTTCCTTCTGCTACCCCACATTTCCAGCATTTTGGATTTAAATTTTTATAATATTTATTTAGTTTATATGGTGTCAAATACCACCTAAAGAATATTTTTGACCAGTTCTCTTGCATGTCATATGCATGTAGGTATTTTATTTTCTTTTTCCAAATTGTTTCCCAAATTTTGAGACCTTTAAGTGAAATTAAAAAAAACCTACCTAAACATGACCTGGCTAATAGGCAAATTCAAGAATTTTATGGTAAGGACAAAAAAATAGGATTTGAGACAAAGGGAAATACATGGGATATAATATGGGAAATAGGGAAGAAAAAATATCCAAAATATATAAAGAACTGTTGAAATGGAGTATGGAAGAAGAAGGAGTAAAAGAATGTATGATAAAGTGGGCAAAAAATGTGGGCAGAGCGATAAGACTAGATGAATGGGAAACAAACAAACAAGATGAATCCCTTTTAATGTGTCACATCAGAACCCAAAACACTAACACCACCACCCTATCAATGATGTAATTTTGGAAATTCAATAGGATGTTGTGTTTCGGGCCCTTATAAATTTAGTTTCATCCTGCTTGGCCAGTAGATACATCTGCCATTGATTACCAAACAAAGTAATGATCCTTATCACGAGAGGATAAACATATAAGGGGGATAGGGAAGGAGGGAAGATACAAGATACGTTTATTTGCAGATGATACACTACTAACCTTCAGAAAGCCATTAGAACAGATAAAAAGAATAGAAGCATATTTAACAGAGTTTGGAGAAATTATAGGCCTTAAAGTTAATTGGGATAAATCGGAAATCTTATTATTTAACCACACTAAAGAAGAGGAAGAAAAATTAAGAGAAGGGAGATTGGGCAGATTAAAAATAAAGAACTCAATAAAGTATCTAGGAATTAATATTTCTAAAGAAATTGATAAACTAGAAGAGGAGAATCTAATTAAATTAAGGAAAAATGTGAAGGATACTCTGGCTAAATTTGCCAAGCTCAAATTGTCATGGTTTGGTAGAATAGCTCTAATAAAGATGAAAATTTTACCTAAAATAAACTTTTTGTTTAGGATGCTACCTATTAAAATCTCAGCTGGATTAAAAACAAAGTGGCAGAATATGATAAACACCTTCTGCAACGAGAACAAAAGAGTTAGAATTAACAAAGCAAAATGGTATAAACTACAAAAGAAGGGAGGTCTGGGAATACCAAACTTAAAACTATACTATATAGCAAACCAGTTAAAATATATTGTTGAAGGGATTATGGGTCAAAAGGATTTAGAATGGTTAGAAGAAGAGAGTGAAGACATAGATATGAAACTAGAATATATTTTCTTTATAGGGAAAACTAGGAATCTATACAAGAAATGGTTTAACAAAATAGAGAACCCGTTTCTAAAAAACATATTGGGAATATGGTCTAAATATGAAGAAAAATTAATACCCTCGATATCCCCATTAACACCGGTGCTGATTACAAATAATTTCCCCATAAATCTCAAAAAGGAGTTGGAAAGTGAATTCAAGGAAAAAGGAATAACGAAATTAAAAGATTGGGAATCAAAGATGAAAAATATAGATGAGATAAAGGTCCAGTTATCAGGAGGGAACATTGGATGGTATAAAGTTCTACAACTTGAAAGATGGTTAAGGGAAATAAGAAAGAAATATAAAGGAGAGAGGGAATTTACCAAATTTGAAGAAATGATTAGCCAAAGGGGGAGTAAGGAAGGAAAAGAAAGAACAAAAGGTATAACAAGTGATATCTACAAAATGCTGCTGGAAGGAGTCCAGGAGGAGGACCACCTTAAAAGAATGTGGGAGTTAGATTGTAATAAAGTAATACACCCACAAAACTGGAAAGGAATGTGGAATATGCGTATATTAAAAATATGTCAATAAGAATAAAAGAGAACTATTACAAAGTGGTGTGGAGATGGTACCTCACACCAATCAGATTAAATCAAATTGACAAGAAACATTCTAAGCAGTGCTGGAGGGGCTGTCAAGAAACTGGCACATATATACACATGTGGTGGTCTTGCAAATATGTTCAAAAATTTTGGGAAAATGTATTTCAAGAAATAAGAAGAATCACCCAAATAGAGATAACAGGAACACCGGAGATAGCACTGCTGTCATTTATTGACAATGTTAAAATACCAAAAACTAAAAGAATTAATTGCCAATCTGGTAACAGCAGCAAGATTATTAATAGCTAAAAAATGGAAAAAAGGAGGGGAGTGCCAATTGGAAGAGTGGTATAGGGAGATTTGGGACATCGCAATAAACGATAAACTGACAGGAAACATTAAGGTTAAAAGAGGATTATAAAAAAAGATGATTTTGGGAAGATTTGGGGGGAATTGATAGAATATGTATATATAGAAGGTAAGGGGACCAAACCTGTAATAGAAACAACTGATTTTTGGGAATAAGTATTGTAATTGGCTGCTCGGGGGTGAAGGGTTAGCACTGGGTGATTGGATGTAATGAAGTAGGAGAATGAAATATTATAGCTATCAAGATATACATGTTCTGTACAATTGTTAATAGGAAGTGATAAGTATAAGAATGTTTAAATACCGAATATGTTAAAGCTACAATAAATAAAAATAATTAAAAAATGATCCTTATCAGAAGTTTTTTTTTATTTTGTGAATGAGTCCTTCTAAGTTGTCTCTCCCATGTTAGAGGGCTGTCATAGACTTTTACCATTCCTGGTGGCAAATCAGGGAAAGGAAACAGCTTTGGACCCACGGCTTCTTTTGGCCTGCACCATTACCTTCCATTATGGCATCAGCACCAGAGTGCAATAGCAAAGCAACAGTGGTGCCGGAAGTTCCCATCAATACAACAGGGCATCCAGCAAAGGTCTTCCTTATACATTATGAAGAAAATGGTCCAGTAGTGGAGATGCATGCCATTCAATTTTTTCACAGGAAACTTTCCTAAGAGCATACGATTGCTCCACAGACCCAATATATAAGATTTATGTTTTAAAATTATGATCCCGCAACGTGGATCTGAACTGATAGTCAGTATGGTTGAATATGAGTAAAGAAGACTCAGTGTTAGACAAATTTTAACCAGTATTCATTAACCAGAAATTCTTACGAATATCAGCTTCAAACAATTCTTATTTTGAATGTATAATCAGGTAATAAGAATAGTTATAAATTTAGAAATAATTTTTATAATCAACTAATGTAAAAGAATAGAAAGCTATCACAGTTTGCACTCTGCTGTACAGAGAAAATGAAATTTACAACATGTTCCTAATACGTGGAGCCATACAGGTTGCAGTGCAGTAGAAATACGTCTTTACCTAGAAAGAAACAACAGCCCACAAGGGAAAGGATCACAGAGATGGTAGTTATCTTCATGGTTAAGGAAGGCAGTTTTCTCTCTGGATTCAGCTGGGGCTTTGCTCTTCTCTCTCCGATAGGTTTTTGACACACTCGAGAGCATATTCATAGTATTCTATCTACAAATGTCGTCTCATTCTTTACTGTTATCACAAGGATTTCTGAAGATCCACATTCTTAAACAATTTTATTTGGGGCAGAGGTGAAGCAAGAGGAATGCTACTTTTCTTCATTTTAATTATGCCCTCAGAAATATTGACAAATTGTGTGTGTTTGTGTGTGACTAAAGCAGGGGTCCCCAAACTAAGGCCTGGGGGCCGGATCCGGCCCCCTGAGGGCATTTATCCGGCCCGCAGGGTGTAGAGAAGGTGGGGGAGGCGGCGGGCGAAGCAGCTTAGGAGCCGCTTCGTCCTCCGCCTCCCTGGGCCCAGCTGGCTCTTCTCCTGCCGGCGGCAGGAGAAGGGGAGGAGGCTACGGGTGAAACAGCTTCGGGGCCGCTTCGTCCTCCTCCTCCCTGGGCCAAGCCAGCTTTTCTGCCTTTGGGAAGGGGCCACGAGCTGCGTGCATCCGCAGAGCAAAGCCAGGCGGAGCAGCAGCCGCGTCCCGGGCATGGTGCGCCTCCCGAGCCTCTGCCTGTCAGGGCGGGGACTCCATGGGCTTCCCTGCAAGGCAAGGCGAAGAGCAGAGAAGGGGGTCAGTGCGGAAGGAGCGAGCGAGGGAGGGAGGGGTCTCCTTCCACCAGGGAAGCACCCACCAAGACCCTCCTCCTCCTCCTCCTCCTCTGCTGGGCAAGAACCCCCTCCCTTCACACACACACACACACACACACACAGACATCATCTTTGATTTTGGGCTGTATGGCTGTGTTCCAGAAGCATTCTCTCCTGATGTTCTCTCTTTGGTTCCATCCTTCCTTGTCTCTTTCCTTCCTTCCCACCCTCTTTCTCTTTTTCGTTCCTTCTCTCCTTCCTTCTCTACCTTTCTTTCTTTCCTTTTCTCCTTCCCTCCTTCTTTCCCTCTCTCTCCCTCCTTCTCTCCTTCCTTCAACCTCTATTCTTCTTTCTTTCTTTCTTTCTTTCTTTCTTTCTCTCCTTCCCTCCTTTTTCCCCTTCTTCTTTCCCTTTTTTCTCTCTTTCTCTCCCTCCTTCTCTCCTTCCTTCATTCTCTACCCTTCTTTCTTTCTTTCTTTCTTTCTTTCTTTCTTTCTTTCTTTCCTTCCCTCCTTCTTTCCCTCTTCCCTTCTCTCCTTCCCTCCTTCTCTACCCTTCTTTCTTTCTTTCTTTCTTTCTTTCTTTCCTCCCCCTTCTTTCCCCCCTCTTTCTCTCTTTCTTTCTCTCTTTCTCTCCCTCCTTCTCCCCTTCCTTCATTCTCTACCCTTCTTTCTTTCCTTTCCTCCTTCTTCCCTTCTTCTTTCCCTCTTTCCTTCTCTCCTTCCTTCTTCCTTCTCTACCCTTCTTTCTTTCCTTCTTTCTCTCCTTCCCCTTTCTTTCTTTCCCTCTTTCCCTCTTTCTTTCTCTCTTTCTCTCCCTCCTTCTCCCCTTCCTTCATTCTCTACCCTTCTTTCTTTCCTTCCCTCCTTCTTCCCTCTTTATTTCTCTCCTTTCTTCTCTACCCTTCTTTCTCTCCTTCCCCCCTTCTTTCCCTCTTTCTTTCTCTTTCTCTCCCTCCTTCTCACCTTCCTTCTCTACCCTTCTTTCTTTCCTTCTTTCTCTCCTTCCCTCCTTCTTTGCCTCCTTCTCCCCCTCCTTCTTTCTTTCCTTCCTTCTTTCCCCCTTTCTGTGTATGCGTTTTGTATGTGTATATGCATAGATGTGTGTGTTTGTGTATATATATATATGGTTTTGCGCATGTATTGTAATGTATTTTGGGGGGAATGTTGCTTTTTAAGTCTCTTCTGCTGTGTTTTTCAGTGTTTTTATGAGTGATAGTCACTTGTTGGCCTGATAGATGTATTTTGTCCAAATTTGGTGTCAATTCGTCCAGTGGTTTTTGAGTTATGTTAATCCCACAAACGAACATTACATTTTTATTTATATAGATTTTTCAAATTATAATCCGGCCCTCCAACAGTTTGAGGGACCGTGACCCGGCCCTCTGTTTAAAAAGTTTGAGGACCCCTGGACTAAAGGGTGGGGAGGTTATTTTTCTGTATAAACCATTCCACATCCCATGGAACCTTGGAGGGACAGGGGGTCAGCTGGAACAGTGTGAAGCTGGTAGTGCTAGCTCCAGGAGCAGAGGAAAATGCATGTAGTTTACTTCCACTCCCACTTTCCCACCTCTTTCCTGCCATCAGAACTGGAAGGGAGATTCAGGGATCAGGATCCAGCCTGGGCTATATGGAGTTACACTCCCCCTGAAAATACAGGTCCACAGTTTAGGGATCCTCCTAGACTCCTCCTAGACTACCATTGAACCTGGAGACCCAGGTTTCTGCAGCTGTCAGGAGTGCATTTGCACATTTTAAAAATACTGCATCAACTGCTTCCATTCTTTCAGAGGGCAGGTATGGCCACACTAGTAAATACAATAGGACCTCAACATATACATGGATAGAAGTGTTTTCTCCCTTCTTCTCTCTGCTGCCAGCACATAGTCCCCTGGAGCCCATCACATGATGCAGGGCTGCTTCTGTGGGACTCTGTAGGACTCCATCCCAGCAGCATTGCCGCAGTGGAGGCCAGAGGAGTTGAGTGTATACCCAGCTCTTCAGAGGAGAAAGCCAGAGGAGCTGAAGAGTAAGTGGGGGAACAGCAGGGAAAGATTGTGGGAAGGGAGACTATGAGCCCCAAAGGGAGGTGACAGACCCTTACAGGTCATTCCACTGCCCCATGATTGCCCCACCATTGTCCCCACTGTCCACTGATTTACCCCTGTTCATCTGAGTTGCATCCCATTTGGATTACTGTAATGCACTCTACAGGGTGTGAAAGGTGTTTGGAAACTTCAGCTGGTCAAAACAGCTGTGACTAGGTTCCTAATGGGGGCTGGCTAAAGGGAGCAAGCAACCCCTTTGTTGCAGAAGCTCTATTGACTGCCAGTTGGTTCCCAGGCAAAATTCAAAGTGCTGAGTATGACCTATAAATCAATTTATGGTTCAGGTCCAGGCTACTTGGCTGATCACATTTCAATGTACAAACCTGTCCATGTCCTGAGATCCTCAGGAGGGGCCCTTCTTTCTGTCCCACTTCCATTGCAAACTCGATTGATGAAACAAGAGCTTTTTAGATTTTAAATTATATATTGTATTATTTTTTAGTGTTAACAACTGCAATACATGTAGTAGAGAGTTCAAGGTAATTTTCACAGGTTCCATTTCACTGATTCCTCTTTGAGAAGACTGGAGGGTACAGAGGCTACAGATGGAAGGAGGAAGTTTCAAAATGACTTGTTATTTTCCTTTATGGGCATCTCCACTGGCTACAAAACTGTATAACAGGTGAATTGTTTCCATTGAGTCCAAATCATGGTTTGCCCTGTGATTACCAGAGACAGTCTGGGGACTCTGGATGACTCACAACATCAAAGGCCAACATTCAATGCCATAAACACACAATAATAAGTTAAATAATTCAATTGAACAACATAGAACATTCAACCTGCAAACAATCACATAGAGAGCAATAAAGCAAATTATAGTGGAATTTGACAGGAGATACATTTGGAAAATGGGCGCCCGGGGCGCCGCGGGGCGCCGCGGGGCACCCCGGGGCGCCGCGGGGGCCGGCGGCTGCTGCTGCTGCTGCGACGACGCGAAACGCGGCAGGTTTCAGCATCTCCGCTGCTCGGCGTTGGCGCCGCTGCTGCTCCAGGGTTGCTTGGAGTTGCTCCGCGTTGCCGCTGCCACTTGTGGTGGCTTCAAGACCTCCTTCAGGATTTCCCGGGTTGGCTGCCCCGCTGCCTCGCTCCGGTACTGGGCTGTCTGGCTCCCGGGGCGGTGGTGACCGTTGCGGCGTGGCTCTCCCGGCGTTGCTGTCGTGCGGTTGCGCTGCCGGTTGCTCCGGACTGCTTGGCCTCCTAGGCGGCTGACTTCTTTGTGTTGGCTGATTGCTGCTTTGGCTGGTGTCGAGGACCGACCATTCCCCGGGCCCTGTTCCAACTTGTTTCGGCTGGGGTCGGTTGGGTCGCCGTGGGGCGGCGTCGTGCCGCCATTTTGGACTTCATCTCGCCGGCCTCGATACGCTGCCGCCATCTTGAGGGCCAGTCTGCTTCATCAAAGTCCTAGTTGACCTTCCTAACGCGCTGGCCCTTGAAGAAATGCCATCTCCGACGGGCAACAGATAATAGAGCCAGTTTTAAATTAACAGCTACCTGGCCACTTCTTTTGCTGGCTGCCCGGTATCCATCACCTCCCGGAAGACTGAGTCGGCCACCTGTGACCAAATTACTGTGACCTTGCATCTCGCTGATCCAATTTTGGTCAAATTGTGTTGATCGTTGTTAATCTGTCTGTCTGTGCCGATCCTTTTGACTTTGTAATCCATTCTTCGAGTGTGCTGACCATCTTTGATTGTAGTGACTACTATTTTAAACTGTGCTGATTATTTTAATTGTGCTGACCTTCTCTGATGGTGCTAACTACCCCTGATTGTGTGACCACCTCCCAACTGTGCTGACCAATCTTAGGGTGGTTGGGCGGAATATCTTATTAACTGTGTGATCTTAGCACTTTACTTATTAGCACTTTATATTATTACTTCTGTGGCACTTTAACCAAATTTAGCACTTTAACTGATTCGATACATTCAGCGTTGAATTAGGCCTCCATGACGCACTTCATTAAGCACTTTGGGGTTGATTGTCAAGCCACCGTATTTTAATTGTTATTCCATCGTGTAGGTTGACATAAGTCTCTATCTACACTCTAAGAGCCTTAACCAAACCCCCTGTTTGTGTTTAACAGCGGTTACTCATGTTATTATCCACTCCCTGGCATTTGTTAACCTGGTTGCTAATTGCATATGGGGGTCAGAGGGAATGGAATAGCTCAGGGGGACCCGAATATAACATAATAGGAA